TGTAGTGTCCATCTTTAAAAAGGAGAGTCCAGGGAACTACAGACATGTCAGCCTCACCTCACCCCCTGGAAAAATCATGGAGAGGATCTTCAATGAATCCATCTTGAAACACTGGGAGGAGAGGGAGGTGATTAGGAACAATCAACATGGATTCACTAAGGACAAGTCATGCCTGACCAATCTGATTGCCTTCTATGACAAGGTAACTGGCTCTGTGGACGTGGAGAAGGCGGTGGATGTGATATACGTTTAGCAAAGCTTTTGATATAGTTTCCCACAGTACTCTTGCCAGCAATTAAGGAAGTACGGATTGGATACGTGGACTGTAAGGTGGATAGAAAGCTGGCTAGATTGTCAGGCCCAACGGGGAGTGATTAATGGCTTGATGTCTGGCTGGCGGTCGGTTTCAAGCAGAGTGCCCCAAGGATCGGTTCTGGGGCTAGATTTGTTCAACATCTTTATTAATGACCTGGAGGAGGGGATGGATTGCACCCTCAGCAAGTTTGTGGATGACACTAAGCTGGGGGAGAGGTAGATATGCTGGAGGGCAGGGATAGAGTCCAGAGTGACTTAGAGAAATTGGAGGATTGGGCCACAAGAAATCTGATGAGGTTCAACAAGGACAAGTGCACTCGGGGAGGAAGAATCCCAAGCATTGCTGCAGGCTGGGGACTGACTGGCTAAGCAGCAGTTTTGCAGAAAAGGCCCTGGGGGTTACAGTGGATGAGAAGCTGGAGATGAGTCAACAGAGTGCCCTTGTAGCCAAGAAGGCGAAGGACATATTGGGCTGCATTAGTCGTAGCATTGCCAGCATATCGAGGAAGTGATTTTTCCCTTCTATTCAGCTCTGGTGAGGCCACATTTGGAGTATTGTGTCAATTCTGGGGCCCTGATTACAGAAAGGATGTGGCCAAATTGGAGAGAGTCTGGGGGAGGGCAACGAAAATAACAAAGAGGCTGGAGCACATGACTCATGAGGAAAGGCTGAGGGATTTGGGCGTATTTAGTCTGCAGAAGAGAAGAGTGAGGAGGGATTGGATAGCAGCCTTCAACTACCTGAAGGGGGGTTCCAGACAGGATGGAGAGAGGCTGTTCTCCGTGGTGATGGATGGCAGAACAAGCTTCAAGTTGCAGTGGGGGAGGTCTAGGTTGGATCTTAGGAAAAATTACTTCCCTAGAAGGGTGGTGAAACACTGGAATGAGGATTGGAAGGGATGGAATCTCCAGCCTCAAAGATTTTTAAGGCCTGGATTGACAAAGCTCTGTCTGGGATGATTTCATTGGGGTTCAGGGGTTGGTCCAGTTTGGGCAGAGGGTTGGACTAGATGACCTCCTGAGGTCTCTTCCTACCCTAAACTTCTGCAGTTCTATGAACCTTTTCTGAAAAAGCCTCGTTCAGCGAGCCACAGTGCTGGATGCAACTGCCTTTGCTCAGACACTTTCCTATCAGAAATAGCCCAGTAAAGGA